ACTACTGCGGGATTAATCGGGCACTACTGCGGGATTAATCGGGCACTACTGCGGGATTAATCGGGTACTACAGTGGGATTAATCGGGTACTACTGTGGGATTAATCGGGCACTACTGCGGGATTAATCGGGCACTACCGCGGGATTAATCGGGCACTACTGCGGGATTAATCAGGTACTACAGTGGGATTAATCGGGTACTACTGTGGGATTAATCGGGCACTACTGTGGGATTAATCGGGCACTACTGTGGGATTAATCGGGTACTACTGCGGGATTAATCGGGCACTACTGTGGGATTAATCGGGCACTACTGTGGGATTAATCGGGTACTACTGTGGGATTAATCGGGCACTACTGTGGGATTAATCGGGCACCACTGCGGGATTAATCGGGCACTACTGTGGGATTAATCGGGTACTACTGTGGGATTAATCAGAGCCCTTGAAACCCAGCAGCAACGTCACAGAGAGGGAGTTCTGTGCTCACCCAGACTGTGTCTGCGGGGGTAAACTGATCGGCAGCTGCAGTTGCTGGTTCGTTAGCCAAGTTACGTCAGCTCTTTGTTAAATCTGAAGGTTTGTAAGAAGCAGCGCTAACTCTGCTGTCGGACACAGGAACAGTCTCTTCTGTTCTTGGTTGTAGCTGCACCTGACACAGGTGAGTGTGGTCTGAAGCACCTGCTCCATTTGTCTGGTCTCAATTAAACACCCTGAGTCCTGTGACGAGACAACAGCCCAAAACAAAATGTTCTTTAGAAGTTCTTCCATGAGATGTGATCCATGACAGGAGCTGAAACATGGAGTAGGACTGAGCCTTAAAACGTGGGACAGCTGAGGAGGTGAAGCAGTAAACAGAATACCTGCTCCAGGTGCACAGTCTGACATCACTCATCTGCAGCGACTGATTTAAAACAAGAAAATGTGACGGTGAAGGAAACATCCTTTGTCCCAAGGCCAGTTCAAGTACCGTTAATATTTTGGTAACTTTATTTTTCTTTCTTTATGAATCGATTGTAACTATTTTCACATTATTCAACAACCAAAACACATTTAGTTATTTTATGGAATGGCTAGCTATCAAAACCAACATTTAGCCCTCCCCACGACCCAGTTGTAGCTGGAAGTTCTGTGTTGAGAGACGTTATGGAGACGCCTCCAGTGTTGAAGCAGCACCGTACACACAACCTGCCAGTAGCGCCTGGCTGTTATCTGCCATCAGACGTGGCCCTCCTCATTTGTCTGCACAGACACGTCACAGAGTCACCGCTCTCATGTTCAACACCTGAAACTAATTTTAGTGACGCTTCATCACGACTGACCAGTCTGCTTCAAAATAAGAATGAGCATTTTCTACTTCCTGGGAATGTTTCCAGGCCTGCAGCGAACTGTGACTGTTGGTTCATGACAGAAGTGAAGGTTTTGTGCTGAAACGTGTTCACGAAGCTGAGACCCCGCTGTTGTAGACGGAGCACGCAGCACAAACAGGATAAACGACAAACGAGCTAAAGGCCAAAATGACCCAAACTCAAGAAGAGCTCACTTTAGCTAACATGTTGCACCGTAGCATAGGGAGGCAAATCAGATTTCAAAGAGGACTCTTTGAATTTTGTAAGAACCATTCAAATAAAACTCAGTAAAGAAATTCATTCCGGTGTTTTAAGTGTAAAAGTTGTAAATCTAAATGCAAGCACTGTTTTGAGGCTGAACGCTTTGATGTGCGGCTGCTGAAGCACGACACCGGTGTGCAGCGTCTCCCCTGGTTAGCCTGCCATGGCGGGGTGCTCATCTCACCCATGATTATGGCTGATGGGGGACGGAGACATGTCTGAGCGCAGCTTGTACTAACAGTTTCTGAGCAGGGCGGGGGGCGTTCAGCATGAGGGAAGAGGCAGTGCGAGTGCTGCCTTGGGCTTTGTAGCTAGAGAGCCTGTATTCTGTGCCGCTAGCTTAGTGCTGTGTCAGTGCTGGGTGGGAGGGCAAGTTCAGTTTGGTAGGTGGGGTGCTCCGTTGTGTTGACGGGGTGGGGCACCCCGCCTGTATAATGGTAGGGGAAAGGCTGGTGTGAATACTGAGCATCAGCTTGTTGTTTCTGTGTGTTCAGGTTGAAAACTCCAGGCTCGTCTTCCCCGCTGAAGAGCACCGCTTCCTCTCGGACTAAATGCAACTGAAGCAGGGGGCTTGTGGGCATGAAGTGGCTGGGCGAATCCAAGAACATGGTAGTAAATGGCAGACGCCACGAGAACAAGTTGACTGCCGAGCAGCCCATGAGCCATGCTCGCTCTCAGCACTTGCAACGTTCGGCGCAGCGTCAGATCAGAAACCACCAGAGAAGCCGCCGATGTAGCCGCAGTGAGTTCAGGCTGAAGACGTGTGGATGGCTGTGCGGTGACCGCCTCCTTACAGCAGTGTGTGTGTGTGTGCGTGTGTGCGTGTGTGTGTGTTTCAGGGTGCAACGCTGCCAGTCTGGAGGCAGAACGCCGCTACGTACCCTCCTCAGGAATGACGGCCAAGGAGCTGTGTGAGAACGATGACTTGACCACCAGCCTCATCCTGGACCCTTATCTGGGCTTTCAAACCCACAAGATGAACACCAGGTCCGTTTGTCTCTGAGGATGGTTTCATTATCACCCACTGCCCAAATGCAAAGTCAGGGCAAGAATGTTTTTGCTTGTGTTTGTGTTCAAGTGTGTGTTAGCAAAATATCCCTTGAACCGTTGGATGAATTTTAAGGATACTTTTAGAATCGTTGGATGTTCGTCAGTGAGTAACTTTTAGTGTCAGTCTTAATCAAGATGGCTGCCACAACCAATTAACAGCTGTAGCTCAGTCAGTTCTACAGATGTTGAGCTCAGAAGCCAAAAACACGACGTGGTAGTAGCTGAGACTGGTTTGCCACATACTCTGAGCGCTAACGGACTCATCATGACGTCATTTTCACACTTTGATCCAAACGGCTACAACTCTGACATCAGGTGGTCTTAATGTAAAACAAGTGTGGGGGGTATATGTCCCTCCAAGAGATGCCAGGCCTTGACTTGTCTGTCTGAATGTTTCCTGGCAGATTTCGACCAATCAAAGGGAGACAAGAAGAGCTGAAGGAAGTCATTGAGCGGTTCAAGAAGCACGACAACCTGGAGAAAGCCTACAAGGCTCTGATGACAGGAGACTGGTGCCGAAATGTTTTCCTCCACAAGTCCAAGGCCCAGGAAAAGCTCTTTAAGCAACATGTAAACACGTCTCTGTTTGAGTGGTTTAACCTTCTGACAGCTGCCTGACAGACCGGGTGCTAACTTTGTATTTTGCACAGGTGTTTGTTTATCTGCGGATGTTCGCTGCAGACAGCGGCTTTGAGATTCTGCCCTGCAATCGTTATTCCTCTGAGCAGAACGGAGCTAAAATTGTAGCCACAAAGGAATGGTGAGGCCCTACTGCTGATTATAAACACTCTGCAGCTGCATGCAGAAACTCCTCAGCTAGCCCTCATATTTTCACATTTTCCTCCCAATGATCCAGACTTTACTCATGTTGATATGGTCTAGATCAGTGGTTCTCAATGTAGGTCCTCAAGGAACACCATCCTGCATGATTCAGTGTCCTTGCTCTTCAGCAGGTCTAGTTCTTCAGAAGCTCATAAATCTCTGTCATACAAATCAGATTTTTTTTTTAAAAATGACAAAAAATATGCAGGATGGTGTTCCTCAAGGACCAGGACTGGGAAACACTGGTCTGGATCCACTGCTCTTTGGACTTTCTAAAGGTCTTGTCAGAGTTCTTCTCAGTCCTAGAACCTGAACATTTTCAAAGGAATGGTTTGAACGCTGACCTCATTCAGACAGGAAAATGGTAAATGGACTGTACTTGTATATCACCTTTCTACCTTATCAAGACACTCAAAGCTCTTCACAACAATCTGTGCCTCATTGACCCCTTCACACAGCTCTATACTAGATCTCTACAAAGACAACTGAACAAATCATTCTAATGAGACTAACCAGACCTTTATCACATTCAAACACTGATGGGACACACACTGGAGGCAAGGAGGGGTTCAGTGTCTTGCCCAGGGACACTTCAGCATGTGACTGCTGGTGGATTCGAACCCCCAACTCTTGCATTGGAGGACGACTGCTCTAACCACTCAGCCACAGCCGCTCATCAAAAAAAATCAAACTAGAAGGATGAAGGAGCGTTGTGTCGGTACAGTCGACAAGTTCTGTGTACCCAGCAGCCAAAAGATCCAGCGATGTGCAAAGACCAGACCACCTTCATGCTGCTTCTGGACATTCAGCCAACCCACGGAGACACCATGACCCACTCAGCTGTGACGTGAGCAGCCAGAACCAAAGAGCTGTCGAGCTGCTGGGTGGATGTGGAGCTCAGTGCGTTGTGACAGATGTCTGCCGCATGTTCTTTCCAAAACATGATCATTAACTCAGTTTAGCAATTCTTTTTGTGGTTAACTACATTTTAAACTAAATGCTAAGCTGCTGAGTGTCGTCCTCAGTTTTTCCTGTGTAATAAATCTGCTGTTTGTCCCACGATCGGCTGCTCACACAAACCACGTCCTCGTTTCATTGCATTGGACCGTGGCTTGCACTTTCACATGTTAGCTATTTGAGCTCCAGTGTTTCCCCGACCATTATACAAGCGGGGCACCACGCCCCTTCAACAGAACCAAGCGCCCCGCCTACCAAATTGAACTGTGCCCCTCCACTTGTCGGCACTGACTTAGCTCTACAGTTGTATTCGGGCCCAAAAACATCTGATCCGGCCCGGACCCAGCCCTCAGTCATAATTTCCGAACCCCACCCGACCCGACGAATTAACAGTAATTACTGGTCCAAACCTGGAAAACACCCCCCCCCCCCACCCCCCCATCTGAAGCTTAACTGAACTTTTTACCTCTTTCAAGGCCCGTCAGCTCGCGGTGAAATAACCGCATGCGGCTGGTGGAGGTATGGCAGGCCACGTTATCATATAATTGGATGGCAGCTGATCCTGACCCAATTAAAAGCCTGAGATGTCACATGTCACACCGAAGCAGCCAAAAGGCATCTAAACAATCCAAAGTGTGGTCTGGATCAGGGCTTTCAGTCAAATGAACTCAATCAAATGCTTCTTCATGACTGGCCTGTTTTAATGTTGCAGGAAAAGAAATGATAAGATTGAGTATTTGGTGGGCTGTATTGCTGAGCTGTCTGAGAGCGAGGAGAACCTGCTGCTCCGCCACGGAGAGAACGACTTCAGCGTCATGTACTCCACACGCAAGAACTGTGCTCAGCTGTGGCTCGGGCCCGCTGCTTTCATCAACCACGGTATCATTCTTTACACCTGACCTGCTGCAGAAGCATACAAAGAAGCATTAATCATTTGAGGTTTCTAACAAAGTTCCTTTTCATTTACTCAGATTGCCGGCCAAATTGCAAGGTAAGGCCACCTGACAATGCAAGAAGTCATGCGAGTACATGCAAGTCCTCATCTACAATGCTGTGAACAAATATCTGCCCACACTTTTCTTCTGTTTTTGCTTTTTGTCAGACATGTTTAAGATGATCAAACGTTAGAGCCGGTAAATATAACGAGTCAAAACAAACCGTAGTTTTTAAATTATTTCATCTGTTAAAGGATATAAAGATCATCCAAACCAACTTGGTCCTACATCAAAATAATAATTTTCCTCTAAACCTAATAACTGGTTTAGATCTTGATGGCAGAACTGCAGTAAAGAGTTTGTGATAACTGACAGAGTTTTTGACATGGTTAATGGACCTTTCTATCTGGTCAAGATACTCAAAGCTCTTTACAGCACAATCTGTGCCTTCTTTTATCTCCACGCACGTTCATACAGCACTCTACCACACACGTTCATACAGCACTCTACCACGCACGTTCATACAGTACTCTACCACGCACGTTCATACAGTACTCTACCACGCACGTTCATACAGCACTCTTATCACGCACGTTCATACAGTACTCTACCACGCACGTTCATACAGCACTCTACCACGCACGTTCATAC